TTTCATTAGATGGCTCACCCTCTGCCTGACTGGCAGGCCAGACTCTGTATGCACATCCATGTTCAGCTCGTCAGGTCCTTTGCCATTCCAGCATGTTGACTCCCTTACGTTTGGATAGTGGCACTAGTATTATATAGGACTCACCCAGGCTTGAGTCTAGCTCACTTTTATTGCCTTACTTGTCTCATCCTCTACATCTAGCCAGCCCCAAATTGAGTAGAATAGCCCTCTTCATTCACTGAGAAATGTTATCTTATGATGTGCTCACCTTCAGTCTGCTACTCTCAAATATGCATAGCTTCATCCTGAAGGCCGTAGGAGCCAAAATCCTTCCATAAGTGCCAGGGCTCCCCAGATAATATAGAGCTTGAAACAAGGCCAAGCATGGTGGTCCATACCAGGAATCCAAACACTGAGAGAGCTGAGGCAAGAGAACCGTGAGTTTGAGACCAATCTGGGCTATAAAACAAGATCTTTTCAAAAGTTGGGAGGGGGATTGAGAAAAGCATGTAATCATCATTGAGGATAAGCCCTTAATTCAGTGCTGGCCTGTACCACTAGGATGGGTTTTAGGGTCTGCAATATGTCAAGCTCAAAGAATCAAGTGCGCCAAACAACTCAGCTAAACATCCATGCTGATTGTCATGTGAAAAGCTGGCTTCCCCCCACCCCCCTTAAAGGAGTTCCAAAACACTGCTCACAGCTCACAGCTTCTATTAACAGAGATGTGTTAATATAAGTAGCTATGTGAAATATAAGATATATTGTTTTCAAAGTACCCAATTCAGGTAACTCTTAAAAAAAAAAGAAAGAAAAAGTCAACACCTCTATATATCTGAATGTGTTACCAGGAACAAACTGAGGAAGGCTAGGATGTGCGCAGGCCCCTCTGCACAGTTCCATCTTTGAGAGGATTATGAGCTGAGGACAGAAGGAAAGGCCTTGAACCCAACACGTCCCTGAGGCCTGAGCTCTTCCTAAAGTTCTGCCAGGGAAGGAATGCAGGGAGCCAGCCATCCCTCCTTAGGTGCTGAATCACAGTGAAGACCCTTCACAACTCATCTAGCCTCAGAAATCCCAACACACAAAGCCAAAAGTCTCAGGGAGAAACATTCCTCTCTGCTATCCACCAAACACCGTGAAACAGTCCGAAGAGGTCAGACGAGCATATAGCTATAGGGAAGATGGAGGCTCTGTGGCTAACCTTGGGGTATCCCTCCACAGCCCAGTTTTATACAGTCCAGTATCAAGGATATTGAATACTACTCAAGTGGTCCATTACTGTGGTTCTGCTGTCCTTGGTATCAGTTACTCTTGACCAAATCCAGTCTGAATAGCTTGCTAAGATCTTACACCATCCTGCGGCTTCTTCTCCAAAGTGTCATCCAGGCTGTGTGCCAATGGACTATGCCCATTAGTCACTTAGTAACTCATATATCAGACTGACTATCTCATTATCACAGTGCTTATATGCAACAGCCCTTATGTGTTAGCCTGATGTTACATCACAATGCCTGTGGCATTCATCTCACTTCGTCTCATTGTTTGACATCATATTGTCTCACACCATCAAAGGATGAAGAAGGCACGTTCAGCATAAATATAGTATTTGAGCGAGACCATCCAAATAAATTTTATTATAGTTGTTTGATAAATAATCATGTTATCATTTACTGCTACTCTCCTATCATGTCTCATTTATCAATTAAACTTTAGCATAGCTATGTACGGAGGAAAAAAATACATAGATTCATTACTCTGTGATTTCAGGTAGCTGCCGGGGTTGCAGTAATGGAGCCCCATTACTTATGGTGGCTTTCCTAGCCAAAGCTGAGTGGAGAGTGTGTGTAGAGGTCAGAGAAAGACTTTGAGAGGCAGCTATAAGACGATCCCATGATGTATGCTGGCAAGGACAACTCAGGAGTCACCATTGCAGGGACTTGGCTGGAAAAGAAATGGAAATCCATTGTTAGGATATGTATCTTCAAGGTCCCCCCAAAAGGTCATTGCTGAAGGCTTGGTCCCCAATGTGGACAGTGTTCAGTGTTCAGAAGCGGGACTGTTGGCAGGTGATTGGATCCTGAGAGCTCTTACCTCGTGAATGGAGGAATCCATTGAAGGAGTCAAAGCTTAATAGTTTTCAGGAGAGGGGACTTCGTTATAAAAGAAAGCACTTCCTTTGCTTCCCAGCTACCCTGAGAGAGGTTTGCGAGGTAAGTGCTTTGTCTGTCTGACAGCAGAGATGATGTGTATTGCACTGCTCAGATGTGAGCCCGAAGGGTTGCCCTGCCTCCTGAAAGCACAGGCTTGCATGTTACCTCTGCAAGTCACTGGGCTAGCTCTGCTTGCTAGGAGCAGGGTACTCTCTTTAACTGCCTAGTTTGGAGTTTGCGGAGCCTGATGGGCAGACATAAGGCCAGGTTTCCTCCCTGTTTCTAGGCAAAATTAGGTAGGTAGGCAAGTATTTGGGTTATTATATCTTATTATACCATCTCTTCCTCTCCCTTGCGCCCTTCCATGGCTTTCATTGCTCTTAGATAAAAACAATCTTCGCGTCAGTCAACTTTTCATTGCGGTGACAAAGTTACCCAAGGAAAAACAACATGAAGAAGGGAAGGTTCCTTTTGATTCATGGTGTCAGAGGTTTCAGGTCACGGGAACTTGGCTCAGTGGTTCATGACCTCATCTGTCCTGCCTGTCCCAGAATCTCTGCTGAGATAGAGACAATTCCCTACTATGCCTACCGCCTGCTCTTTACCGATCTAGCCTTTGTCTAATGTTTCCATTAAAATGTGGCTTTCTCTCAGCTAATCCCAGATGCTTCCCGATTGGGAAGAGGTGCTGCCTCTGATGTTCTGACTTACAGCTGGAGAGCTGGCATCTCAGTTTGGTGTCTGTGGCACTGGTGCTATTTCAGGATCAGATGGCAGACCGTGGCATCTAGACTGCTTGGGATGGTTTTGGAGGAAGCTTTAATATCACCGGGAGAAGTCAGCAGCTTGTCTCTGCAAGTACCCCAGGACTTTCCACCCTGAGAGCTACTCAGGTGCAGCTGAGAGGACTGGGAACTGTCTTCTCCTCAGACAACTGGGCTGTGCTTTAGGGACCGGGCTCTGAGCACCTCAAGGCATTTTAGTTGTCTTCTGCGGGCCTGCCTCATCCCTAGTCACTCCCCACAAAGCTTACCTTTAGGCTTTCCTGCACTGAATCAGCAGCAGCCCCCGCCCCTCTTCTGCTGCCCTGGCATTGTGAAATCAAGCTAAGCCCAGTCTGGTTACAATGCACCAGTTCATCAGGGCGCCCACATCCTGTACTCCTTTCCAAGGTGATGCTTAGCCAGCTGGCAAGCAATAGTGAAAACCATCGGAGGCTGCTAAGGATTCAGGACCCTGTACAAGTCAGCAGAAAGAGCCATGGGAAGGGGAGGCCATTCTACCTCACATTGGTTCTGTCTTGCACACCGTATGTCTGGCTGGCACTCAAAAATCCACCACTGCTGCTTGCTGGTGACCTGGCTCTTCCACGCGTAGCCGGCTCATTGGTCATTTGGAAGTTTTGTCTGTGTTCTGCTGACAACTTTTCAGAAATAAGTCAGTAGTTTTGGGGATGGTCTCCCTCCATATCATTTTCTATCATAGTCTGAAGGGAGATATGCTTGTTAACTGACACCTACTCTTGCCCTTTTCACGAATATAGATATCTTAGGTAACAGCACTGCTACGGAGAGGGGACTGGACGAGGAGGTATATACAGGAGAGGGTAGCGCCAAAATAGAATTATGTTTGGTCACTGGCATGAAAGAAATTTCCAATCTTTTGGCTCTGAGTCTGATTGACTCTGACTTTAATAGAAGCTTCCAGGCACTTCTTGAGCACCAGCATAGACTTCTTTCCCTCCTCTTTTTCTTCCCCTTCAAGGTCCCTTCCTTTTCCCTCCCCTTTCTTCCATTCCCTTCTTTGTCAGTCTTGCTGTGTAGCCCATGTTCATTTCAAACTCGTGGCCTTCCTGCCCCAGTATCTCACATACTAGGGTTATAGGCCTGCTCTACCATACCTGCTACCAGTATTCATTTCTGTTACCAGCTAAATTGTGTCCTTTTCTCCCCAGATTGTCTATTGAAGATAAAATTCCCAGAACCTCCAGCCTGTGATTATATTAGGAGATAGGGTCTTGAAGGAGGTAACAGAAGAAAGATCAGGTCATATGCGTGGTCCACAGCCCAATATGAATACTGTTCTTGTAAGAAAAGACCAAGTCGCAGATGGATACAGAGAGAAGACTGTGTGGAGACAGAGAGGTGAAGTCTCTGATTTCAAGTCAAGAATAAATATCCTCAGACGTCAACCCTGCTGAGCCTTGGCCTTGCCTGTCTATCTGTACTCCACCACTGAGAGGAAGCCATTTTTTTTTCTGAAGCTACCCAGTTTGTAACATTTTGTTTTGGCAGCCACAGAAGACCAAAACACCTTCATGATTGAAGGGTTACAGAAGGCCAAGAGGAGCACTGGACAAGATTTTTTCATTTTTACCAGCTTCTCCTTGGGATCTCAAGATTGGCAGCTTCTCTTTGGCTCCTCCACCTACTTCTGTCCAGGCAACCACCAACCTTGTATTGGTAGTTAGATGAAATGGTCAATAAGTCTAGCAGATCTACTCTGGTCTTCATTCCCTTCTGTGAACACCTTATAAAAGGGCCCACAGGTCCTGCCTTCTGGAACTTTCTATAGGCAGTGTGGTAGGTACCATGATAGGCATCTTCCAGAGACAGGGGAACACAAAGCAGGAGAACTTGAACCTGCTCAAGGAGATGGCAGAAGGCTTAGGAGAGATGGGAGCAGGGTCTGCTGTCTGTCAGTACTTGGAGGGCAGGGGCTGGGTCTTGCTTGCCTTCCTTCACCTGTATGGGCTCTCACACTTGCTTTTTCACAGAGGAGGAAGTGATTAGCTAGTGTGCCGAATAGAGGATTCTCTTTGACAGTCCTCCAGGCTTATGGTTCCATGAATCTGTGATCTGAGGCCCACAGCAGTCAGCTGCTGGTCTGCTAGCAGATGGCATGGGGACTCCAGATGTGGGGCAGTGCACCATGTGATGCCGTTTCTGAGCCGTCAAGCTGGAAACAAGAGAGGTGGGTCCAATGAGTTTCCCTTCTGAGCTCGGGCTTCTGGGAGGATCCTGAGGTGTAACAACAGGAACCTGGCCACCGTGACTGGCTAGAACTATTACCTCTTTTAAGAGCCTAGCTCTTAATATAGTCACACGGATGGTCAGATTGTAACATCTCGTTCTCCACAAAACAAAGGTTGGTCAAGCTCCTCACAGCTGTTTCCCGCTCAGAGGAAAGCCCCTAAGTTCCCAGGCAGTGTAAATTGTGTGTTTATAAGACACGCCTCATGTTCAAGTATACAAAAACACTCCATGTGCACAAACCTGCAGCTGGTTCAGCAGGGATCCCAGGAGCTTGGGAGCAGGGATGGGGGCGGGGGAAGTATGAATAAGACAAAGATTCAGTGCCAGCTAAGCATGGCTCTGCTCTAGAGAATACCCAGCGGATCTAAAACTCAACTTCAAAAATGAACAAATAGCATGAGTTTGGGGGGAAAATTTGGGTCCCAACATCATTTAAAGCCAAGTGGCTGGCCCCAAGCAGTGACTGCTGGTCACTAGTCTGGGTGCCCAGCTCCTGAAGACTCTGTGACAGTTTATGTACCCCTGGGATCTGAGGGGTCCCAGTGTCAGTAACTATTCTCTGTGGCTGACTTTTGCAAGATGGAGTAGAAACATGGAAAGTCCACTTGCTGGTAAGAAAACAGGCGAAGGAGGAAGGCAGGGAGAGGCTCTCTCTGCAAGGACTGTGTGGTGCCTTCAGATAAACTGTTTTGTTTCACGCCGAGCTGAGCTCACCTGGGGCAATGACCTTGTGACAAGAATATCAGGCAGAGTCCAGATCAGCAAAGAGGACCGGAAGAGGAAGAGAACTGGGTGCAACCATGCGAACTAGTGACTGGCAGAAGCCCCGCCAGAGCTGCTGCTCAGCCTCCTTTTGAATCCTTCAGTCAGACCTGATCAAATGAACAAGGGCAAGGCCATGTAGGGAAAATCTCAGTCTGTAACAAACCAAACCAACCAACAAAACAAAATAAAACAAAATAATTGGTTCTGACCAAAGATGGAAGACGGAATTACTGGAGTCATCAGATGCTATTCAAAATATTAGACCCATCCTTAGCTACACTGGGGCCCAAGTCTCTTAGGGTTAAACAGGGCAAATGTTCTGTTCGTGTCCACAGTGTCCACAATGACATTTATGGCAGTGAAAATGAGAACAAGTATTGCAGATTGAACACCGGATCTGTTCAGGCCCTGTGCTGGAGACACGTAGTCCTATAAAGGATCACGTCTGTCCCTTTTCTATCCAGGAGAGAATGAAGCATAGAGAAATCTGCTTGTTTTTGCATGGTCAGAGAGAAAACGATAGAACCAGAATGCAGTTCCAGAGAGAGGGGAGTCAGGGCCTAGGGCCTATGCTTTGCATGACTCTATGTTCTGTTCTGGGGAGATACCCTCTAGGTTTTGTTTTTGTGGAGGAGGGGGCTCAGGCTCTGCTAGGAGGGGTCACGGATGGCAGAACCAAAGACTGCTCTGGGTTTGTGTGAAGCATCCCATCTTCTTCCACTCAGTCATGTGACTAACAGAGTCTCAGACTTGCTCTTTAGGATGTCCCCTCAGGAAGTCAGACTCCTCTGAAGTCTGGGTGAGTGGATCTCTGAGAGAGAGAGAGAGAGAGAGAGAGAGAGAGAGACAGAGACAGAGACAGAGACAGAGAGAGACAGAGAGGGGCTGAGGCTGTAACTTAATTTATTGCATCAGGAAACAGGAAAGGAAGTGATTAAAGCCCTTTACATGGTTTATGCAGCTCCCCTCCCCACCTCTTTTCTGAACTCTGGTTGTCTTCTTCCTATCTGTGTCCACAGCTACAGCCCCAGAGCTGTCTCTCTCCCTCCATAGCCTCAGATCTGGAGTATGACACTCTTGTACCGGGGCTGCTGGGCTCACCATTGGTAAAGACTGGCTATCCTGGGGCAGCAACCACCCCAGATTCCTGCTCTCACATGCTGCAAGCCCTTAGCCTCTGTTTCTCTCGCTCTCTCTTCAGCCTGACTCCCTCTCCCCCCCCAAGACCTGGGGCAGTCAAGAGACAAGCCTCTTCCTCCACCCTCCATCTATGCAAGCCCTGCACACGGCTGTCCTAATCTCCCAGTGACCTCGCAGGAGTACCCAGGTGAACGGCATCAGCTGCTTGCTTACAGTCAAGGGCTCTGAAGAAGGAGGAAGGAGCTGTGATGGAAGCTGGGTTTCTTTCCTCCTGGCCTGAAGGAACTCTCTGGTAACTAGCCAACTAGTCTCCATGTCTTTCAGGACAAGGCTAACTCTTGCTCCGCAAAGACCTTGACATTTTATCCTCTGTTAAGCACCCCCTTTCTTCAGCCCCATCAGCTGGGGGAACGTGGCAGCTCCTCTAATAACCCCAGGTTTCAAACCTCCCCTTGGGAGGTGCAGGTTGTCAGGGCAGGCAAATCAGTTTTGCTTGGAGATCTCAGGAGAAGAAAGAGAAGCCCAGAGACCCCGATCTCGTGCTATGTTCTGGGAAGCTGCATCTTCCACTGCCACTTTCAAGTGAACTGAAGCTCGTTACAAACACCGAAGAGGTGTGTGATTCCGAGGAGGGGCCTGCAAAATGGGAACTTGGCCTAGCGACACCTCCGAGGGCCAGTGGGAGAGAACCGCAAGCCTGTCCAGATCTTATCTTCTCAAGAAGGGGCAGGAAAACAGCACAGCGGCCTAGACAGGAACACCAGCTAGCGCCTGCTTACCACACCCCCACGCGGGGTGAATTTACCATTTCCCATGAAGATGAAAGAGGGGAAGCGCAGCAGGGCTTCCCTGAGGCTCCGTGGGGCAAGGCAGGGGCCATGAGGACGACTCAAGGCAATTGACTCTGCCAGATCCCCCCCAAAAGAACACTGGGGGACTTACCCACTCTTTTATGAAGAGGCAATACAGCAATAAAACCAGATGCCTTGGTGTTTCCTTCTCCTCCTCTCCCTTTCCTCCTCTTTCCGTTTATTTTGTTTTTGAGACAAGGCCTTCAGTAGCCCAGGCTGTCCTTGAGCTCACCACGTGGGTGAAGATGACCTTGAACTTGTGACCATCGCTCTTCTCCCTCCTGAAGTTTACTAGATCTCTGCAGTGTGTCCTTGCTTGGCTTTGGGAAATCCAGTTAAACACAGGAGAGCCCTTACCCACATAACAAAACCAACCACAAATAAAGAGAAAGTTAAATGACAGGCCACATGCGCTCACACACATTGCACACAAAAGCCGTTATAAGCGGTCCATGACTAATTGGCAAATGAAAGACACGTTCCTTCTCAGTTTGCTCCCACACTGACATTTTGATAAAGAGGTGGAACAGCCCCAAGGATGTCACAGCCCTGTAGTTATCTGAAGTGGGGGCGGGGGAGCGGTGGCACATCTCCGATAAGGCAGCTTCTTGGCCAGAGGTACCTCTACTTGTCTCCTGTCACAACGTAAAAAGGCTTGTTTTCTGAGCTGGATTTAGTCCTACCCTGGCCATGCTCTCTGAAAGCTCTGATTCCGTCACACATGCTCCCTTCTGCCTCCCTCTTCCTTCAGAATCCGTTACTGAAGTTTCTGTTGTTTGCTGAGACGTGGATATAGGCCATGTTTCTGGCCTCCAGGACAGATACCAGCAGCAGTGTGTCTGCCATTATCTCTGCTTTCCATCTCTTTCCCAGGTCTCTGGGTTAAATGCCTACCGAATCCTTGATAGAACTGAATTGGATTTGAAGCTAATTGCTTGGGAACAAACCCCAGCCCCGTTGCTCTCTAGTGATGCTGAGTCCCAACTTCCTCATCTAGAAAGTGGGTCCAAGAAGGAGATCTTTATCATACGATTGCTATGAAACTCAGACCAGATCCCAAGTGCCTAGTGAGAGTCAGGGGTCCTTCTTACACTTGCACCCGACTTCAAACACCGGTCGAGTGTCTTGCTAAAAATGCAGATTCTTTGTAGTCCTGGGTGGGAGTGGGTTTTCCATATTTCTTGTAAGTTTCCCAGTTGGTCTAGTGGTCACTGGTCCAAGCACTACACCGGGGATCAAAGAGCACTGCAGGACCAACCCCAGCATGAGGATGCTGTGCTTCCTGGGCTGACCTTCAGCGCTGATGGCTTCCATGTCACTTTCTCTGCACGTGGGACACCTTACCTCCTTCCTCTAGTCCTGGCCTACCTGGGTCCACTTTCCCCTCTGACTCCACACTTCTCTCAGATTCTGCCTCAGTGAGGCACTTGTCACCCTGACAATACCCCTTTAAAGTCTCTGGTTTAGGTCTTGGTTGGTGGTTCTTTTCTTTCTTTCTTTCTTTCTTTCTTTCTTTCTTTCTTTCTTTCTTTCTTTCTTTCTTTCTTTCTTTCTTCCTTCCTTCCTTCCTTCCTTCCTTCCTTCCTTCCTTCCTTCCTTCCTTCCTTTCTTTCTTTCTTTCTTTTTTCTTTTTTTTTTACAGTTTGCCTGAAGTTACCTTTAGTTAAAGCCCTCCTGATTTTCCGTTTTTTCTGTGACCCGCCAGGAAATGTATAGATAGCTAATTTCTAAGTTAAGTTATAGCAATGTCTCCCACCCCCTGCATGTTTTATGATAAAATTAACCTGTTCCCACCCACCATCTTTCTTTTATAATTTGGCTCTTCCATGCTCTATTTTTTTATTTAATTTTATTTGATTTTAAGTATCACTGTTTTGTGATTCCACCCCCTCACTATACAGTAATGACAATAATGGTTCCTACCTCATAAGGATGTTGGCAGAATTAAATGAGTCTTTGGAGTAGTGTTTGGGACCAGGCAAGTCTCTACAGGATGTAATTTGTTGTTGCCATTTTCAAATCCTTTTGAAAAGTGAGATTCTGTTGTGACATGATCACCATCATCAATGTCAGCATTAGTATATGATATGCTAATAAGCTTTCATATTGCGTTAGAAATACTCAAGACATCTTTTAAGTTAAAAAGAAATAGATATAGAGCTAGTTAAACAGGGGATAGTAAACTTCAGGGGCCATGTCTCTTACAGTCTATTGGGCAGTTGGGATAAAATAAAACCTGTCCTTTCCACCTCTGGGTTGGGTCACAATGGTCTATTTAGGGGCCCTATACTTTCCTCACTGTTCATGGCATTGGATGTTATAGTCTCAGCCAAAGCCATTCTCTTCAGCCTGATTTTTTTCTCAAGTCATCTCTCTAGCTTTCAGGTCTGTTCCAGTCCTTGACCTTTGGGTTTGGTCTCTCATTCCTGTACCAACTAATTGTTTTCATCCCAGTGACCGAGTTTCAGCTGACTTGGTACTATTGGCTCCTCTGACTTGCCACGTATGTCAATTCCAGGGAAATCACCACGTGTGATCCTGCCTAGCCCCTTACTTGATGACTTCCTAGGGCTCTTCTGTGCCTGCTTTATACCCTCATGACTCCCGATCCAACCCTCCGGTGACATTTATGATGTATTCTGCAAAACCCTGATGGAAGTGACAGGAGACATAAGATAAGATGCAATCAGAAGAGAAGTTCTGGCTCTCACACAGGTTTTATTTTAGTGGGGATGGACAGGCAGTAAGCACGTGACGACCCAGTGGCATAAGCTTCATGCTCCCCAGCGTAGAGTGCAACCCTGTGAAATTAGCATGTGTGTTAATAAGACATGCAGGTGATTTGTGTGCTCATTACAATTGGAGACATACCATTCAGGTCATGGGGGAAAGGAGGCTGGTAAGTGGCTGTCTTCTACGGCATGGACAGAGAAGCTGATTTGATGAGTTGCGTCTGTCTGCTTAGTGACCAGAAGAGAAAAGGAGGATGGTCACTCAGGAGGCAGCAAGCATGGGTTATGGGTTGTGGACATAATTCGAAGTAAATAGGACTTTCAGATTGATTGGGTGCAGAGAACAGAGCAAAGAGAGTCCAGGATGGCCCCAAGGTTCACATCTGAGAAACTAAATACTCCACTGTCATTTGCCGCGGGATCTGGTTTAATGGAGAAAATGTTCTTAACATGTTTTGTTTTGGGGAAGGGTCTTTCTCTCTGTTGTCTCAGTTGCTTCTGTAGATCTATCTGCCTGCTTATGCCTCCTGAGTTCCAGAATTAGAAGCACCTGACAGGTCGAGCCAACGTATCAAGGTGCGTGTGTATGCACCAGATGTGTAGAGATCAGAGGACATCTTCCAGGAATCATTTCTCTCCTATCGTTCGAGTTCTGGGGATTACATTCAGGTTGACAGATTTGAGAGCAAGTAGCTTTCACCTTTATCAGCTGATGGCTGCTGTTTTTCAAACATATTAAATGAAAGATTTTTGAGACAGCCCGAGAAAGTTCAACTTTTTGGGAGACAGTTGAAGTAGGATTGACTTCAGGGTCATCTGTTCTGACTCGCTGATTTCACAACTGAACAAACCGAGTCTGAGCGAAGAGAGGAGGCCTTGCTAGAGGTCATGGAGCTTTTTTATTTATATCTATTTATTTATTTATTTGCACTTTAGTTCCACCATGTGCCACCTCTAAGCATGAGCTCTAAGTCAATGAGTAATTGAAGCAGATTTGTTTATTTAGAGAAGTCCCTCTGCCTTAGGAATGTATGGAAACAAAACTCTAGTTCCGATGTTTTCTGTTGAAGCCTCAATCTTGGGTTAGAGGGCTCATGGGTTGGATCTCCACAGCCATTCTAGAATCTCCAGTCATATCTGCCACCCTCTTAGGTGACAGGGGTGGCATCTCTGTGAATTTGTTCAAAGACACCAGAGGAGGTGCAGTGTAAACTGGAACCAAGAGAGAATCTCAGGACTGGAGCGAAAACTCAATCAGTACAATAGCTGGGTGCAAGCGTGAGGACTTGCATTTGATGTCCAGAGCCCGTGGCAGGCAGAGAGAAACAAAGCCAGGAGTGAGGATGTGCACCTGTAATCCCAGTGCTGGGGAAGTGGAGACAGGAGGATCTCTTGGACTTTCTGGTCAGTATCTGAGTACAACACCTGGGGTTCACCTCTGGCCTCTGCCATGTGTGCCTACATGCACATGCACACCCATTTGCACATGTGTGTCGACACACCCCAGTTCCCACGTGCTCTCCTTAACTCAGAGATCACTGCCTTCTGCCCTCTGCCATCCTTTACCAGCTGACAGCTCAGCTCTTTTCTGCTCTTTCGCGGTGACCGTGGCCCCTCTGTAAGAGCATAAGTCCTGGTATCTATTAAGATCTGTTTTCTGACAAAGCCTCCCTGACTAGAAGGGAGGGATTCAACCTTTTACCTAATTTAGAATAGGTTCATAGTAACGGACTTTGGGGTACATGGATGCATGCACATCATACGTACTTGGACGACTATGATGGTGACCTTGTTAGTTTCTTTGTCATCTCTCGTGGGCCAGAATTTCCTAGTGAGGGAAGAGGCTTCATGTTGTCTAGCCTTCCTCTTTGCACTCCCAGGCTCAGACAGCAATGAATGAAGGCAGATGTGTTCTTTTGACAACTTGGGCTCACCGTCTCCTGTGCCTGAAACTCCAATGGTAGCGGTATAGACCATAGTGTTGGGGCTGGATGAAGAGGCAGGCTTGCTTTTGTGTAGAAGGCTATGTTCCTTGTTCTCCCAGAGAGAGAACCTGTCTTCACTGCCGATGGCCAGGTGTGTGGGGCTCTGAGGAAGACATGGTTATCTGTTTATTGTCAACCAGAGATGGGGGGGTAGGGAGACGAGGGAGAGAGAGAGAGAGAGAGAGAGAGAGAGAGAGAGAGAGAGAGAGAGAGAGAGAGAAAGCAATCAAATTCATTTACTTGATTTTTTTTTCCCCTGCAATTCTAGGCAAACTTTCTCAGGATTTGAGAGCCATAGCAGACTTAAGAGTTTTCTTTTCTTTTCTTTTCTTTTCTTTTCTTTTCTTTTCTTTTCTTTTCTTTCCTTCCTTCCTCCCTCCTTCCCTCCTCCTCCTCTTCCTCCTCCTCCTCCTCCTTCTCCTCCTCCTTCTCCTTCTTCTTCTTTTTCTTCTTCTTTAAGACAGGGTTTCTCTTGACTATTCTGGATCTCACTGTGTAGACATATTGGTCTTGAACTCACAGCCTGCCTCTGCCTCCTGAGTGCTGGAATTAATGGTGTGTGCCACCACTGCCCAGCTTTGAGTGCTTTCTTAAGGAGATAGATTTCACACAGTATAAAGGATGAGCAAATATACTCTGTGCCAAGGGATGTCCCCATTCAAAGAGCAAGGCAGGCTGCCCAGACCTGGCTTTGTAATGTTCATGATTGAACTTACCAGGAACTAAAACAGCGGTTCAGAGAACAGACTTGAAAACAGATTGCTTGGGTCTGAATGGCAGTTAAGCTGTTTGCTCGCTGTGTGACTTGGGACAATTTAGCTGATTACTGTGTCTTAATTTTTCATCTATAAATGAGCTTATTTTTCATCCCACACAATTGCTGTGAGGATAAAATACCCTTAAAAGAATTAGGACAATTGTTGGCATCCAGAGCTGTGTATTACCATCACTTTATATTGTTATTAGAACATTCTATGAACAGAGGGTTTCTGAACCATGAAGCACAGTTTCAGATGCGCTGCTTTCCCCCGTCAAACCTGTGAGACAGATTGTATTACTATGCTTACTTTAGAGAAGAGGAAATCTAAGACCAGAAGACATAGATGGCTGGGGAACAAGTCTCTGCTCATTCTGCTGCACACTAGTGTCTTAATGGCACTCACCTTCAGGTAATAGACAACTGTGCATACCTAGAATGGAGGAGGGTGGGTTGTCCACTATGCCACCACTTCAACTTGGAAATGTCTCCTAAAGAAGAAAGGACAGGTCATTCTCCCATGCTGCTGTTTAGATAGAGCCCTAACGATCTTCTCTCTGCCCACTGACCTTCCCACACTTTTGCTTTCTCTCTATATCGTGGCTCTGCTCACTTCTAGGGTACAAGGCCTCACTGCATAATGAACCACCAGGGCTTTGATTCTGGTAACTTAGTGACTGATTTTTCTTAGTGGATAGAAGACATGGTTATCTGTTTATTGTCAACCAGAGATGGGAGGGGTAGGGAGACGAGGGGGAGAGAGAGAGAGAGGGAGGAAGAGAGAGAGAGAGAGAGAGAGAGAGAGAACAATCAAACTCATCTAGTTGATCAGCTGTCGAGCTCAGCTCTATCCTATTTCACTGAGACAGAAATGTGCAGGTGGCCAGGGCTCTGGATACTGGGCACCTGACCACTACAAAGTTGGCATCTTCTCTCCTATGTTTGCTAGCTCTTGAAGTCCTAGTGTGTTTTGCTGATGGCATCTCCTTTGTTCAGGTCTTTATGAACAACCACAAGTCTGGGCTGTAGTGCTGGAGAGGTGTCAAAGGGTTGGTCAAACATGGAGAGTGTGACGGTAAACTCACAGCCCTGGGTAACTGGCTTGGCCCATGTATGATCAATTGCATTATGGCCCAGCCGGCCTCACTTTAGATGCTAGCCTTCCCTTTCCTACATAGCTGGGGTGAGTTGCTTCACTTCTACCTGGTAAGGATTTAGTGAATTAACACAAACATAGCTCGTAGGACAAAGTCTAACACAGGTTAAACATGTAATTAAGGTTATCATGATTAGGACAAGTATATGATAAATGTAGCTTATATCCTGGGTATTATAGATCATCAGGTAGGCTATTATTTAAACAATGATACATTATTATAATAGTCTGAGGTAACACCAAGAAAAGAGTGATTTATAATGAGGTAGGTAAAGAAGTAGTTATCAGATGGACGAGGAGTAGTAAGGAGCAAACAGTCACGAGTTGCTGATGTCTTCAAAGCTTTGCACGAACACTGTTTAATGTAATCCTTGCCGAATCTCAGTAATATTTGCCACAGTTTGGCTGAGCAGACTAATGCCCACAGAGGGTAAGTGACTTGCACAGTACTTTCTGGTAGCATTGTGATATGTATCTGGGTCGTATTATCCACAACACAGGATCTCACTATGTAGACCAGGCATGCCTCAAACTGCTGACCTTTCTGTTCCCATCTCTCAGGTACTTGAATTATAGACAAGCACCATTATGTTGGACCAGGGAAGTCAGCTTGATTTTCACCTGAATCCTAAATAAACTCTCAGGGTTCATGGTTCTAATTTCTTAATGTACAGGCGACCCCGATAGATGACCCTGACTGAAGCCAATGTTCCTCAGTAAATCGTACCACAAATATTCATGAAGTATGGGTTCCATCCTTCACAGGGTAGTGCAGAGTCTGGAGAATGACCTCTGGCAGAGGAAGATAGTGACAGATATATACAGAGATAGAAATCCAGTTAGCAAAGTCATATAGGTGAAATCATAGGGCATGATGACAATGGTAACATTGTGTAATTATGGCTAACATAAGGAATTGTGTTTATGTCAGTGACAAAAGCTATGAGAGATGAGTGGCTCATGCTGCTGACTGCACCCTGTTCAGCTCCTGCTCTTTTGCCCACAATTCTCTGTGTTCTCAGGAACAGCATTGCCGGCTCTCATCAATGACCTGTCCTTTCTTCTCAAGGACACAGTTCCAAGTTAAATGACATGTCCACCCAGCAGCTCCTGCTGAATCCACGGAGACATCTTTGTTTCTTCCTATGCTTGTTGTCATTGGTTAGGAGAGCGTTTGTGGTCTGCCACCTCGTGAAGAACGGTAACGGGAGGTGGTCCTCAGGGATGGGTTGCTAGGGCAGAAGATTGCCTACTGAACTAGTTACTTCTCTCCTTGCCTTGGCAAAATCAGCAATAAAAACAACCTGGGAAGGCTTACTTTGGCTTACAGTGTAAGGGTCTGGTCCATCATCATGGAGAAAGCATGGACAGTCCTAGCTGCGGGGGGAGGAGCCTGAGCAGCTGGTCATGTGTCAGCAATCAGGAAGCAGAGGGTGACGACGTCAGGTGCTCTGCTCGGTTCTGCTCTTTTTGTAAAAACCATACAATATTTTGATAATTCAAGGATTTCATGTAATGCATTTCAATCATACTCATTCCTAGTCCTCCCCCCAATCCACTCCCTCTTCCCTACCCTCTCCACTCATGCCCCCCCCCAAGCACTATCTTACTGCAACTGTCCTGGTCTTTCTCTTCTTGAAGCCCACTCTACTGGATGGTGCCACCCACATTAAGGGTGGATCTCCATTCTTCGGTTAAACCTTTCTAGAAACTCTCTTGCAGACACCCTCCCACAGAGTAACACATTCTGAACGTGTGATTCTGAATTGTCAGGCTGACGGGGAGAGTAATCGCAATACCTGCCCTCGGTGCCACGTGTCACCCTCTTCCTTTCCGGGCTGGTAGTGTAAACAACAAGTATTTTCTAAAATGATTTTTTTTCCTGTTATTTATGTAAACAACATGTATTTTTCTAAAATGATTTTTCCCTCTTATTTAGCATTTCTTGAACCACCACCACTATGATTATCAGCATTACCAAATATCACTTGAAAATTGCTAAGGCTGGATATTTCCGGAGCATGGGTCATGTCACCATTTTATTTCGTCGTCAGGTTCCGGTCCTTTCTCGCCTAACTAGGTGACTTTGGACACATTGCTTACTCTCTCTGAGGTTTAGTTTTCCCACATATAAAATGGGTGTATGAAAATCGAAGTGCTGTTGTAGGCCTGGTGGTAGGAGAGAAGGGAGTAGGCTGTAATTGGTTGGACTTTTGTTTCTTCCCCAAGATGTCTTCTCTGCAGCTTCATGGTCCTGCCCCAGACACACGTGATGATGGTGGTGCCTCCAATTATCCACAGTGTCTGTAAAGTCAGATCAATTTCCTTTCCCTGTGGGGCTGGGATTGGGAATTCAGAAGCACAAAAAGCGTAAGTTAATTACCTTTGTAGATTTCTAGGCACGGGATTGCTTTTTGTCTTTTAACCAGCTGCTGTACTTCGAGGGTTTCTGAAGTAGAGCAATTTCCCATGCTGTGGTCACACTTTAAGGGCGCAGAGGATGGTAGGACTCAGAGTCCCTCACAGAATTCCTTCCCTGGAAAAATCTTGGTCTGATAATTCAGGGACGAAAACAGACTTGATCTGAAAATTTAGCTGGGGAGTTCTCATCTCAACCTCTAGTCTGTAGAGAACTCTTTTATTCCGTTGAATTTCTTCACCAAGTCAACACAATTGAGGGTGGAAAGGACTGCGTGGTGACATTTCCGATGTGGTATTTCACCCTTTTTTGTTTGCCTTTGGTTAAAAGCACAGTCAGATCTTTGTGCCCAGCATGGATTCTGAGAGACCATTGAAGGTTGTGTGGGAGAGTCTGTAAGACGTCTCAGGGAACACTGAGCACAAACACTGGGTGTGCCATCTCGCCTCAAGGCTGGGAAGGCTGAGGGTTTCTCTGCAGTAACCCCTCTCTTCCTGAATCCTATCCTTGGAAAGATCTGGAAGGCACATCCCTTGGCTGCTATATGAGGCTCAGTTCATTCATCCATTGAATAAATATTTGTTGAGTCTCTTTTAGTGCCAAACCTACTCTAGATGCTGAGCATACTACAGGAACAAAAAGAGCAATGAATCCTACTGACATAGGAGTGACTCTTCCCAAGACTGACTGACTAGTGTTCTGTTCTTTCTGATTTTTCTTGTATATGCTATGTGCCATATAAATGCTTTAATGAAACTTAAGCTTTATATACAAATGCTTTCATGAAACTTAAGTTTTATATATGTCTTGAATTTCTTAGATTTGTATAAAGAACATGTAGTAAAATCTGAGTTATTTTCTTACATAGATAGTATATAGGTACAATTATGCAATTATATCTTCTTAGATTGTATATTCCAAAAATACAGACTTATCCAATTATCTTTTTTCCTTTTTTAATTTTTTATTAATTATATTGACCTATACATTTTCTCTGCTCCCCCTTCCTCTCATCCAATTATCTTTGTTTAGAACCCAGAATAGTAGTATTCCCTCTCTCTTTGTGTATGTGTGTATATGTATATATGCGCACACACACACACACACACACACACACACACACACACACACACACGGAAGCCAGGGTAGCTAATCTTCCTGTCTCTACCTCCTTAGGGTTAGGATTGTAAATATCAAATCTCCCCCACAGAGCTTGTTTTGTTTTCTGAGAGGAGAGTGGTCCTGGGCATTGAACTCAGATCGTGAGGCTTGCGTGGCAAGCAGTTCACAGACTAGCCATCCCCTCAGCTGCTCAGAATATATTCTTTAAGTCAGCTGCTGCTTTCTGGCTGTGAGCTCTGAATTTGCGTTAGAGATCATGATGAGCAGAGATCATGGTTTAGTTTTAGCGACTGAAAAAGAGGGAGAATGATGCCATTGCTTTTCCGACGTTTCGTTTGGGCTTACTAATGTACAGATCTGTAGCTTGCTTGCTCAGTCATTGAGCAGGGACTAGGCCTTTCTTTCTGTAAGTGGCCCAGTCCTACACCCAAGAGGACAGGAGCTGTAGCTTCAAGCATACCTCATGGAAAGGGTCCCCATAAAAGGGGCACCACTCAGTTAAGTAAAAATGGTGTTTGGTTATTTTAGTTCCTTTTCTCTTGGTGTCCTTCACCCGTACACCCCTGAGGCTTGGGATCTTTAATACCTGTTCCCTTTCGCTTGATTAAACCTCTCAGGGAATTCTAACAACTCCTTACAGTTGCATATAAATCCACGATTTTGAGGGCCTCTGTGGGGACCATTGTCTTTAAGCAGACAGAAACATTTACTTATAGGTGGCTCTCTATCCTGGCTGTATGTCACCACTGATGGAGATGCTTTCTAAGATCTAGGGCTTTACACACATGCTGTAATCGTAATAGAAGTCCGTGGGAGAAGGGTGAATCTCATTCACACCGAGGACTGTGAAGCATTTGGATGCTCACTGTGTGATTCTTGTATCAATGTAGTATCAATACCACTTGGGAACACAGAGTTTCAAGCCGTCTGAATCAGAAGCTCTGGGATGGAGGCTAGCAAGCTGTGCATGATAAAGTCTTTGTTGTGACTCTGATGCTCTTTGCTTCTGAGGTCTGAGGATCACTGCTCGAAGCCAGAGGACTAAGTCGTATCTGGGACACTTCAGTCAAGAGTGAGGTTAATATGAAGCCACATTCCAAATGTGTCTGGCTAGTCCTTGTACACACAAGGCCCTCTGTGGCTGTTTGTCAGTCTGTGAAACTGTCCCCGATTTGTACATAAGCATCATATCAGTCTTATGTACAAATTTGTGAGTGGCAAGCTGGGTGTGCTGGATTCTTGAAAGCAGGGCTTGGAGAAATAGAGAAGAAAGGGAGGATTTGCTGAACATGGCAAACACAGGTTTGCTGATAGTACTAATGAGAACTAGTTAACTATGTGATAACTACTCCCCCCCCACCCCGGTCTCTCATGTCCCACAAGCCACAGACCACAAATCAGGACTATGGGAAGGGTAGAGGATAAAGCTGTGGCAGAGGATGTAAATGGTTGTATTTGCTAAGCTAAACTGTGTGGAGTTAGAAGTCATGGAACTTTTTAGTATAGCATTGTTTAGGCATGTGGATATGTATGTAGATGTATGTACAGGTATGTACAGATGTGGTGGAGCCTAGAGGTTGACATTGAGTGTCCTCCTTAAGTACTCTCCACCTGGTATCTCTCTCTCTCTCTCTCTCTCTCTCTCTCTCTCTCTCTCTATATATATATATATATATATATATATATATATATATATATATATATGGGCAGAGACCCATATAGAGACCCATATTTGAACCAGAGCTCACCAATTCAGCCAGCCGAGCTAGGCAGCTTGCTCTGGGGATCTCTTGTCTCTGCCTCCCACTTACTGGAGTTACATTTTATGAGAATTCTGGGGATTCGAACTCCAGTGTTTACGTGACTTTATCCACTCTCTATATGGGCGAATTTTTTTAATTATAAATTTTAATCTCAAAGCAGTAGTCCCCCAGACATCGGAAGATAGTGATTTTAAGACCTGAAAGGACTGGGAATCGGAAAAGATTCCCACACATTTATCTGAAACACATTTACATTTCAGGTCTCTTCAGCAATATTGTTCCCTGTACTGAAGGTAAGAAGATGAAGAAGAGCGATGTCATCAACGGCTGCAGAACCTGGAGGGGCAGGAACAAGAAGACACCTGGTGACGGGGAGACACCGGATGCTGCGCGGACGGCTAACCTTTGGCTGTACGCTACCTCTGGAGCTCAGGCAAGTCCTTGCTGAGTAAGGATTACTTTTCTGAAACCTGAAGGTTAAATGCAACCGTACAAGTGAAAGTGTGCAGGGGAGGGAAGGAGAATGTGAAGAGAACATTCTAGAGAGGGGGGGGATCATGGGTGAGAGCTTGGCATGGAGAGAGGCTAAAACGGGAGTTTATGAGTGGCAAGCTGGAGGTGTTGGATCCTAGAAGGCAGGGTGGAATGCAGTGGAGACGCAGTCAGAAAGGCAGCAAGCAAGCCTAGACCCAGAGAACCCAGAGACTTAGATGGAGGATTTGGACCAGGGCCCAGGGACAATTGGAAGCCACTTAGAGGTTTAACACAGTGGAAGAAACTGATGAGTTTGAATGAAGAATAGATCTCTTGGCTACATCTTGGAAGTGAACTGAAGGAAGAACTGTGGGTTCTGGGAGACAGGAGATGCCTGTCATGCAGATTAAATTTACAAATGTTTGCTTAGGGAAAATACGAGATGAGCTAAAAATTAAATTAAATCGAGCAGTTAATCTTGTGCTCTTTTCCAGCCTTAGGTGTGTTTCCTTGAAAGAAATAATTTTCTGACAGCTATGGAGACCTAGCCAGGGGCAGGAATCAATCAACAGGTAGTAACTGAGCACTGCTATGTGCCAATCACAATATAAAATATGGTGCTGGGGCCGGCAAGCTCGCTCAGTAGGATGCCTTAGCAGGTTAAGGCACTTGCTGCCAAGCCTAACAACCTGAGATTGATCCTTAGGACCCACGTAGGGGAAGGAAAAATCAACTCCTGCCAGCTGTCCTCTCATGTCCATGTGCCTCCCGTGGGACGCACAGACATGCATACAATAAATAATACAACAACACCTTGGTCTGGATATCCTGGGAGATTCTTGGAAGGCTTGGTTGTTGCACACAAGATACTAATATCTGAGTTACAGAAATAAGCAAAGCTGCATAGATATTCACTGAAGATTCAGGGCATCTGTGGTTAATTGTCAGAAAGTAAGAATAAAGTCATAAAGCCTCTACAAGGAGGATTAGACTTCCTTTGGGGCAACAGGCAGGCCTTGAGGAGAGTGTTGAGAGATCCTAGGAGTTGAGTAGACCCGCTCATTTGGGAACACGCTACATTTCAGGAGTGGTGTGACCTGCAGACTTTGTGGTTGCAGACACATTTGTAGTTTAGTTTCTCTTGGCTTTCAGAGAAAGGTGGCTGAGCCTCACGGATATGCAAAGGCACATTTGTTTTTGCTCAAAAATGAGGTACTAACATGTGTCTCCTTCTTAGTGAGTGACCATGTTTCTGCTGCATCTGTTGGAATAGGGCGTGTGGATGGGTAGATTTGTTGTACAGACATGATTTAGAAGAGTCTGGGAAGAATGGAGATGGACGAGGTATTTCTCAGAAAGGGGAGTGCAGTGGGATTCTCTAACTCTTCATGCTCTCTCCATAACCAGGTGCTGTACTTGACAGAATATTACCTAGTCCCCAAGAAGCTTCAAAATGACATGTGTCAGAAGTGGGTCATTCTAAAATTCCTATCCTAAGACTCTCTGCCCCTTAGTAAGGAGACAGTCTACTCTTGTGCAGGAGATAAATACTCGAAGGGTACATTTGACTCTGAATTAGCAAAATCCTAAGTTTGTGCTGCTTCTTGACAGCCATTTGCTACCATCCTGGGCAGAAACTGGGATGGAGGCTGAGGGCACAGTGCTGAACTGCCCTACACCAGCATCATCTGATCTGGACCAGACTTGAGAGGAGACAGGTGAGTGCCAGTGAGGTGACTTGGGGGTGCCAGTGAATTAGGTTGAGGAGACTGTTTGAAGATGTCAGGTTGCTACAGGGAAGCCTGTGTGTTTGACTTCCTGAAGACACTGTTGGATGAGTCCAAAGGGGTACAGTGGATGGTAGAATACTACCAACTTGAAGGTTCTTTGTAGATGCTTATAGGGCCAGGGAACCCAAAGATGTAGAGACACCAAAGACAGCTAAGGGACCCCACCTACTCCATTTTCATGTGAGTTGGATCCCTTCCTTTTGAGGGAGGATCTCATGCAGCTCAAGCTGGTTTCAAATTCACTGTGTAGCCCAGGATGGCCTTGACATCTTTGATCTTCCTCTCTCCATCTCTCAAGTGCTAGAATTAAAGGCATAGCCACTGTGCTTACTTTAGGCAGTGCTAGGGATCAAATCCAGGGACTCATGAATGCTGGCAAAGCACCCTACTAACTGAGCCACATACCTGCCCCTGGTCCTCATTTTAATTACATTTTGGGATTTTTCTCAGTAAAGCTCATTTAAATAATACCAAAATTCTGATGATAGAAATTAATTGAACATCTTTATCATTTTAATGGCCTTTTCACAAAATGTGCTTTTGGTCCTTGCTTTCAGTCTTAGAATTATGGCTCTGAAATAGTGGAGGTCCCAACTTTGTGGTACCCAAAGCATTGCAGCTTGGGTTCCAAGACTTGCACAGTGTGCACAGATCAGGCAAATCCCTAGGGTTTGCTAGGGTTGCTGTGGGCAAGTGTAATGAGCATTAATCAGAGGGCTGGCAGGAATAAGAACAATGAACTAGTGTGGATTCTGCCTGAGGAGCCTGTGGAGGTGACAGTCCACGGGACTGTGGAGACATGTTTGCTTAGGCAGAAAGCCATGTGGGACCCCAAGTCAGCTTACTCTGGCATACATCCTCACCACACCTGCAGCAGGTCCCCTGGACACATTTAGTGGGGCAGGAGTTGTGGGTGGGTAACCCAACCTCATCCTTCTAGCATTGTTGATTTCTTCTGTTTCCTGGCTGGGATTGAGAACATTCCCCAGCTCCAAGAAAATTCTCTACTGTGTTCAAGCCGCTTGGGCTTCATGAACTCACTACCTGGGATCCAGGTTCTCTGAGCTAGAGACACTGAATCATGATGAATTGGCAGGGTAGGGAGGAAGGGAGAGGGAGAAGAAAAGGGAAGTGGGGGAGAGGGAGGGAGGGAGAGCTGATAGAATGCCCTGAATGAATGAAGAATGGTTCTTCATTGATATGAACCAGTCAAGGATTCTGAGTGTGCCAGGCTCCCACTGTGATCACGCTCTTGGCATACCAGAGTCTAGTCACATTTAAGACTAGAGTAAAAAAGCATCCAAATACTAGTGTCCTTCAGTATCTGTGGTGATTGGTTCCAGCATCTCACTGGATGCTAAAATCCATTAATGCCTGAGACCTTCAAAAGAAGGGTTATATATTTAGATATAATCTATACACATTTTCCCATATACATCAAATCATCACTAGATTCTTATACTGTTTGTTCTAAGAATACTTGTTATGTCACAAGGACAAGGAAAGTCTATATACACTCATTATAGGCATAATGTTTGGAATGTTTTCATTCTGGTTTGCTGAATCCACAGACACGGAGCCCTGGGATATGGAGATCTGACTGTGATCCTGTCTCAGATCAGCATGGCTGCATCTGAGGACTCATACTTAGAAGCCACTGGGTTTACTATGTAGTCCATGGATATCGATACTGGGCTCACACTCAACTATTATTGTGGCCCAAGGTTGCTGGAGGTCTGGATAGGAGCAGATGTTTAAATGCCTGTCATTTGCTCTGGTTTATCTAATCAGTTGGAGATGACATCATAGCCTCTGACAGATGGGAACATATGGCTGGCTGCCTTGGTTAGATTATGCACTTCACTGGAATTTGAAAACCATGAATTACCAGCCTGGTGCCGTGACCCTGAATAACCATGGTAGAGTTTCACGATAACAGTGGATAGGCCTGGGTAGTAACAGCCCATAGTGCTCTCTCCCCTGGTGGTCTTTGTACTTGCTGTTGGTGTGTGACTTGCGAATCTGGGTGTAGGTGTGATATGCTCTCTCATCCATCATTTTGTTGTATACTCTCATGCCTTTCAGTGGACCAGGTAGGACTACCCTCAAGACCCAGGCCCAAGCCCATTCAGGGGCCTATAATAATAATAATAATAATACTAATAATAATAATAATAATAATAGAATGATTTGCTTACTCTTGGTCAGCAGTCTTGTTCTGCTTTGTACACGTTAAGCCATCCAACCCTTTAATAAAATTGGATAATCCAAAGGAGATAAAATTGGTGGGAGCATTTGATTCACAGATTTCTCTGAGTTCTGAGGCTGGAATGTCTCTTGTTCCCTAAGCTCAGAGCCCAGCAGTGAAGCAGAAGTCAGGCTAGGCTTTGCTGTCTGAAAAGGACAGAGAAGCGCTCTAGAGAAAGAGTAAGGTAAAGCAGTCTTCTCGAACATGATCTCAGGAGCAGGTGTGCTAGCCTTCCCTTAGAGCTCGTCCTCAGAAATTCTGGGGGTGGCGACTGGTGCATGAAAACACGAAGAAATCACTGTTCTGGGCCCATTTCTGTTTGCCTGTAAGTGTTCACCACAGTCCTTTTTCTTCTTTTATTTCACAGAAAAAGGTTGTCTAAGCTGCTTCTGGGGTTATCCCAGTGGATTCTGGAGTCTTTGTAGAAAGAGGGAGAGCAGAGATAAACAGAAGCCTATTAAGCGCTTAGCTTCATGGCCCCAAAGCTTCAGCCCACACCTCAAAGCATCTGAAAGAATGGAAAACTCACCATCCCTCATTCTCAGTCCTTGAGAACCTGGGTCTCTCTGGGCTCAGTTTCTGCTTTTTCACTGTGAGGAAATCCAAGTGATGTTTGATGGATCTGTTGAACATGGAATATCCTGGCTTAATGTAATGACATTTCTTTTATCTGTATCTCTTAACAGGATTAAAAAAATACTGTTCTACATTTATGCCTAAGGTGTTCTTTTGAGAGTATATTCTCCCTCCGCTGCTTCCTTTGTTGAATTAATATAAGCTTTATAGAGTCAGGGCTGTCTCATTATGCACTACTGCATCCTCAATGCCAAATGCCTAGGCGACAATAGGATGACATTTAGCACATCCCTGCTGAGTGAGTGGGGGGTGATGAGAGGTGGGGGGACAGACCACTTACCGTCCGAGGCTCATTTCTGTAGTAGAGCAGCAGTGTGATTTGGGGTTGAGAGCTGTCACGCCAGCTCACATTGGATCCTGGATTCTCCTCTTTCTGAACAAGATCCACTAGCCAAGTTTCTTAGCCCCATTATGTCTGTTTCTAGATGTGTGAGACGAGGCTAATGCTTCAAAAATTATTAAGAATACTGCATGAGCTAGTTTGTGCAGAGCCCACAGGAGTTCCTTATATGTAGCCAGAGCTCCAGAACTCCTCTTGTATTGACTGTGGGAGCAAAAACGTGGAATTCTTAGAGTTGTTTTACCTCCACTCTTCCACCTCACTACTCCTGTCTCAGCGTGCTTGTGTCTGCGTGTGGGACATGTACTAAGGGTGATTTAGTTCAGTTTTAGGGGAAAAGGCACTTATGTTGATTTACTGATAGTGTGTGTGTTTGTGGGTACAGGTGCATGCATATGCTTTATTTATTACATTCATGGAATTTTCTCTCACTCATACTAGAAGACACATAGCTCAAGTCAAAAGCCTCCATATTTAATATTAGCAAAAATTGTGACAATAGTAATGCCATCTTTTATAGAGACTTTTCTGTGTGCTAGGCATTGTATACTTTGGTGGCGAAGGAATTACCTGAGGCAGGGGACATCATAATCCTAGGGAGTGGGCGATTTTAGCGTGTGGCCTACAGAAACAAGGCTTGGCTTACTTCATTCACTGGTGTTAACATGGCCAATAAAGACCCACGTGGCCTTTCTGCTTAATTGAATCAATTGCTTTGTTTTCGGAGGCACGTTTCTTTTCCCTTTGGAATTTAAGGATGCCTACAATTTTGAGGTTTTTTTTTTTTTTAAGGTCTCCTTCTCATGCTTTTCTTCTTCTTCCTCTCACCTTTCTGTCCTTTTCATCTTATCTTATTCATTCGTCCATTGGTTCAAGTTCCCATCCTCTCAGACTAAAACAAAACATGCAGCTTTGAGCTCTCCAGCTGCACCTGCGACTAAAAGCTTCTCGGGAGTGGGAGCGGGAGTGGGAGCGGGAGTGGGAGCGGGAGCGGGGCTCCTATGCAAATCCACTTGTTCTCGCACTCTGGAGCCTTTGCCTTTTGGTAGTAAGCTGTCCCTTTGTTCACAAGGAAATGGACTTTGTCTTTATTGCAACTCCCATTTCCATAGTATTTGGGCACAAATTACAAAATATACTTGGTGACAATCTTAGTTACTGGAGGGCTCGGCATTCCAGGAAGGAGATAAGGTGTTTTTTTGTGCATCTTCAGATGGATGGGTGGTTGACAAGCATTGCTGCAATTATTGGATAAGCTACCTTTGCCTCACTTTTTAAAGCCAGGCAACATTCAGGCAACAGGGCACCAGGCTGGTCAGGCCAACGGTCTGGGGAAATTCTCTTCATTCAAAACCACCTAGAGATTTATGAGTCTTGGAGTGGGTGCCAGGTAGAGTCACCAGGTCAGTATTGCTTGGGACAGCTCAAGGAATGAGATTGTTTCTGGGAAGCATTCATGAGCGTTCATGAGGCCAAGCTCTCTCCTATACACGGGAAACAAAAGAAGTGAGTTTAGCTAAACAAAGGAATTATTTCATGCTATGTTTATGGCAGAAGATTTTGGTTTTCTCCCTTTTCATATTTTTGTTTATTTTTTGAGAATTTCATGCAATATATAACCTCCCCACTCTCCTAATACCTCCCAGGTCCTCCCCACCCACCTGACTTCATGTACTTTCTCTGTCTTAGAAATCAAAAATCAGAACAAAAGCAACTATAAACCATAAAAAGCTGTTGAAGTCTGAATTTTGTTGGCTAACTATTTCTGAGCATGGGCCCTCCCTGGAGTGTGGTTGATGTACACAGTGCCACTCCATTGGGAATAAAACAACAACAACTGATTTTCCCTCTTCTGTCAGCTATCAGTTGCAAATATCTCCCTGGCTAGGGCTGGGATTTTGATCCCACTTCTCCTCCGTGCTGGGGTTTTTCCTGGTCTGAGCTTGTACAGGTCTTGTGCTGCTGTCATGGCCTCTGTGATGTCATATGTGCACCAATCCTATTGTGTCTGGAAAGTTATGTTTATTTGAAATTGTCCACCACCCCTGACTTTTATAATCTTTCTGCTTCCTTCTTTGCATAGATCCTTGTACCTTGAGGGGAGGGCTGTGATAGAGACATCTCATTTAGGGATGAGTAGTTCAAGTCTCTCATTGTATTAGTCAGGATTCTTTAAGGAACAGGACTGATAAGATGAGCTAATACATATATTATAATTATATAGTATGTCATACATAATAATATATAGTATATAATGGGATATACATACATACATACATATACACGCACACACATATGGGATCTATTTGAGTGGTTAACAGATTGCAGTCCGAGAAGTTCAACAATGGCTGTCTCCTGATGGGAAGGCCAACGGTTCAGGAGTTGTTTAGTACATGAGACTGGATGTCTCAACAATTCCGATCTGGTGCTGGCGTGGCATGTAGGTCCTAGAGGGCTGCCAGTTTTCAGTCCATGTTGCAATTCCAAAGGAGTAGGTTCTGAAACGAGCAGAAGGACAGCTCAGGATAGATGAACTTGGCAGTGAGAGTGAGGTCAAGCAGGAAGAAAGCCCAAGCCCAAACTTCCTTACACCATGTCCTTTATATGGGCTGCTACCTGACTGCATGGGCCCAGATTTCGGGTGGGCCTTCTGACCTCCAGTGGTCCAGATTTAGGGTAGATAGCCTACCTCAAATGAACCAACCAAGAGAATCTCTCACAGTACTCTCGGTTGCTTGGATTTTAGTTACAATGTGTCAAGTTGACAGCCAAGATTAGCTACTAACTCTCTGCACATTGTCTTTCTGTTAATTACCATCTACAGCAAGAAGAAGCTTCTCTGGTGAGCGTTGAGCGATGCACTGATTTGTGGATGTAACAATATGCCACTAGCAATTGTTTTATTGCTATGTTCACTTAGCAAGGAAATAGTAGTAGGTTTCTCCCTGGAGTCTGTGACCTATCTATCGGGACTCTTGGAGGGGAGGGGGACATTCTAATAAAATGCAGAAGACTTGAAAGAAGATGAATAAAAAAAGATCTTGGAAAAAAAGGAAGGACTAGTTTGGGGTTGTCTAGGTTAGTGATTCCAAATGTTAGAGCAATGCCACCTGACATGTTTGTTTAAAAATATAAAGCATACACACAAAACCCATGACCTTCCCAAACCTGTCTAACAGAGTTACAACCTGGTCCACTTCATATCTTACTAAGTTAGATTCTCTCAGTGGAGTGGAGCCCATGCATATCTCTTTATAAAAGAATATCCCATGTAATTTGAGTGGGAACTATTTTTTAGAAAGATTTCTGCATTTTCTTTTATGTATATGAATGTTTTGTCTGCATGTATGGGTGTGTACCACATGTGAGCCTGGGGTCCTCAGAGGCCAGGAAAGGATATTAAATTCTTAGAGCTCTATCTACAGATGGTTGTGAGCCACCATATGAGGGCTGGGAACTGAACAAAGGTCTTCTGAGAGACCAGCAAGTTCTCTTGACTGCTGAGCCATTTCTTCAGCTCATAAAAAAATAAAACAACAGTTTTCACACCAACCTGAACATGGGAACTGTATTTTGCTTATTTCAGCAACCTCAATATTCAGCTCAATTTCCAGCAAATTTGTACCTAATAAGTATTTGCAGCGCTATCCTGGAAGATGCTTCTTGAAGTTGGCCATTGATTGGACAGAGTTGTAAGACGTTATTGTTGCTAACATGGCAAAAATATCAACTAAAGCTCATTATTCAGCAATGTCTGGTAAAACAAAATGCTAAAATTGGGTCTTTCTGAATTAAGAAGACCACATGGTGGGCAGAATAACCTGGAGCTTTTCTGTTTGGCAAAGCACTCCAGTAATGCAGTATCAAAGAGAAGAGCTACCAGGCTGCCTTGGCTGATTCCAAGATTATTTATGGCATATCTGGGTCATAGCTAACAATCAAAGCCACATGGTCCTTGATTTTCTCATCTGCAAATTGGGACGGGGCATTCACCAGATGTCTGTGCCAATGGAAAATTGTCAGTGTGGCTAGAGACCATCTGTCTAGTGCCAAAGGCCATTCAAGAAGAGCCATAAAGAAAGTTGGGCCCTCTCCAGCTCACCACAGAAGCCAGACTGTTGTACACAATAAAGTCCTTGCTTCGGAACACTGGCGCCAGGCCAGACCACGTGATCGATCCAATCGCCATTTGGTTAGGGGTATGCGATATCCTTTCCATAGTACCTTGTTGTAAGGTTCAATTATTTGAGGTGTGACTATACAGGAAATCACAACCACTAAATCGACTTTTAGATAAGGACCCGCCATGCAGCTGTCAGCCATATTTGCAGATGATGGCTGGGAACTTGGGGAGATGAAATGTTGTCCGAATCTAGCTGCTGTTTTGATAAGGGCAGCAGGACCTGTCTTTTTCTTGGGAAAATAGAAATTGGCAAAGTTTGAAGGGCTCCCTGCTGTACACGAACTTGGGAAACAAAAACGTTAAAGGAAGATCAATTGAATTAGTCTCTTGATGGGAATCCGATGGCCTCATTCATGTGGATGAAGACTCTATAGCAAGCTATTGCTCTTATGTGTTATGATGATTTCTTTGACGGCTCCCATTTGAAAGAAGAAGAAATCAAAACTAGGAGAGCTTAAACAACTGGAGCAGCTCTCCAATTCTTGCAATGCAGTCCAATGGCAAGCTAAGCTATCTTACCCTGCAGGAGCATTTTGCTGTACTGTGCAGCCTTCCCCAGAGAAAAACTGGGCAGAAGGATGAAGCCACACTCACTCGCTGGAGAAGTGACCTTAGCCCTTTCAGTATAGAATGTAGGCGATTCTCAGAGACAGCAATGGAGTTTAATATCATTATTTATGGATTTACCCATTCATTATCCTAGCTGGATTTAAGTGATTTCATATATTTTAAAATATATATCATAGTACTATAATATCATAGTACTTCTCTTAAATATGCAGTGGTTCTTAACCATAGATTCTCATAAACTCTATTGACTATCTCCTGAGAAACACACACACACACACACACACACACACACACACACACACAATGTTTTGTATAAGAAATTAATGGACACTCTTTAAAATTATCCTGGTCTACCTACCACTGCTCCAAGGTCAACAAATCTCTCTCTCTAGATCTAATTTATGACAAATTTCCAGGCCACATGCAATTTTCACAGCCTAGAGATTATTAAACCGGTAGACTACCGACTTTTGTAATTACTAGTTAGCTAATATTTGCACTGGTCACAAATCTTATATTAAAAGGTTAATATAAGTTAATATCTTATATTAGGATTTTCTGTCTACCTCGCATTAATTTTATACTTATATGATATTGATTATATCTGTTCTTTTTTAAATTTTATCCCTAAATTGTGACTATGTGGTGTAGTTTGTATATTTCTTGTGTTCAATATTTGTTTCTGAAAATTATAGATAAAAATACTTGGAAATGAATCTCATACAGGAGAACAAATTGTTATTGAAAAGAATTTGTATTTCTCTACTATGTATAACATTATTCTAGATTCTGTTATATGGTTTATTAAGCTAAATAACCTTCCCTCTAGTCTTAATTTTCTAAAAACTGTCTTCAAAATTATAAGAAGATATTAGATTTATAAAATTTTCTTTATGCATTAAGATAACATTATGAGTTTTCTCTTAGGATTCATTAATGTGGTGAGTTCCATTGATAAGCCTTCTAAGAGGAAAGTCGTCCTAGCATCCCTTAACCATATGAGGTTAAGCCTACATATGGAGATATGTGATCCTCATTCTATCATTATTTATTATTACTTCTTAACATACTATAGAATAATGCAAAATAATATTTAGGAGTTTTGAATGTATGTTTATGAGTTTTCTTAAGTTGACATCATCTAGCTTCAGAATCTAGTTTATATTAGTTTTTTATTTGACAACTTCCTGTTGGTCTTTCTTTGGTCACAACTATGACATTGTGTTGTTAGATCTTCTAAAACATTAATTTAGAAATTTCTTTTAATTAGTGACCCTACTAGTTTCATATTCACTATAGTTCCTATACTATTAGCTCTTACCATCTTCTGTTTTCTGTTTCCCACATTTTAAAAATATCCTTTTCTCATTTTCTATAGAGTTGCCCAAATTTATCTGACTTAAAGGTAAAATATTCTATTTCGGTTTTTTATTAAGCATGAAGGCGATGACTCCCCTTACTCAGCTCTCAGGTTGCTCCGAGGCTTGTTTTCTGCTATTGAGTTCTTAAATCTGCCTACCATTCTTCAGGTTAAGAGTTCCTGATATGGAAATCCCCATCCACGATGTCACAAATCACGAACTTTTCCAATGTTGGTATGACACCGCAGGTGGAAAATTTCATACCTGAACTTCTGTGACAGACTATAGTATAAAAACATTGACGAAAATTACCTTCAGGGTGTGTGGAAGATGTATACATGCACAAATAAACTTGGGCTTCATATCAAGATGGTTCATTATATATTCTGGTGTCCCAAAATCTGAAAATAATCTGGAATTTGAAATGCTTCTGGCCCCACACATATCAGATAATCCTTGCTTGGCCTCACTGTCCCTCTTTGCACAATAGAAGCAGCAGCACAATTAGATGCCCCCTGAGTTCCTCTAAGACCATTCATCATGACATTAAATACAAAATACAAAATATAATTTATATAAATTACCTTTTTTGGACTTGTGCAAGTGTGATGATATTTTGTTCTGGAGGAATTTCCTTTCCCCAACTTTAAGAAAATTCCTGTAATGAACTTGATCCAGGTATCTGATGGCCTGTTGTTCTAGCATTTCTTGCACTGCCCTCCGAAGTACCACTTTTCAGTTGAATACTTCCTCCAAGAACAATTTTAATGTGAGGCTTTGTGGGCCCTAAGATATTTTTGTTATGCTACAATATTTGAATGGCAGTTTGGCTTGCTTTAAGGAGACAGGTTCCGTGTTCACATCAATATCTTACAAATATTTCCTCATTGTCTGAATCTATATTTTTGCTGTGAGGAAGTTCACTGCCATAGTAAGCAGTTATTTATATTGCTCTGGGGAGCTCGTTATGCTAGATCCATAGAGTAAAATAGAAAAAAAAAACCCTTTCTTTCATGGCATTAGGCACGAAATTAGCATAAGGCAGATCACCATAATGTGAACAACAACACAGGAGATGCCCAACCAGCTAGCTCTATGTCCCCCAAGACATCTGGAGAGCCACTTCATTTTATAGACATAGAAACCGAAACGAGAACAGTTATGTGGCGTATTTAAGGGGACACAGTCAGTGGGTGGCAGAGCCTTAATAGGACTCCTACCTCCTGGAGCTAAGCCAGGCCTGATGGGCGGAAACTTCTCAGTAAGGCCCAAGGCTCTATGACACTGCCACCTACGAGGTTGTGGTATGTAGTCCCTACATTGTAGTTTCTTCTTCATACTGAGCTCAGAGGTCTTTGAGTGAGGGCTGTTAATCCATCCAGCAGGGAGTCTTCTCTGTGGAGTTATTTTTTTATGTGACCAATGTTTCTCCTCGAGAGCTGCCCTCAAGCCAACAACCCATTATAGGCTGTAATTGATCACTTCATTAGGTGAAGTCTTACCGGGGGTGAGCATACTCTGGGTCCTATGTAAAACACAAAGCTAAAGCCTGCTTGAGGTGCCTAAGGAGTCCTGTGACAGTTCACCACCATGTAAACAACAGGCATAGTGCTCTAAGAACAGAGAAAGGGGGACTGATCGTTTCTGGGCCAGGAGTTTCGGTGGGTCACAGAATTCTTTCACCTGCTAAGGTGCTATTTGAATGGGGTCTTGAGGAAAGCAGGGGTGCTCTTCAGATAGGGAAGGCCGCGAGAGAGACTCCGGAGGTGAGGCCAGTCCTTTAAAATGAGCATGCATCTGGAGAGGGGAGGGCTCAGTTGTGGGAGGCTTTCTCATCTCCACTCTGTGAGTAAAGGGAGAAGGCTTCTTCTGGTGGTACTGGAGGCTGAGCCCAGGCTTTACACAGCGCAGGCAAGTGCTTCACCACTGCGTGATAGGCCTTTAGGCGAAGACTTTGCGATCTGGAGAGTGGCAGGGTCAGAGCCAGAATGTATTAGATCCTTCTAAGGCACCATGAAAGGCAAAGTAGCAAGGTCTCTGGGCTACCCCTGGGGTCCTAACCATCTGATCTTAACCCCAGAGCGAGTGGGTCACTGGAATGGAGTATATGAGCGCATGGGTTTCAGATACACAGAGGCAGATGGTAGCCTCCTACTGCCCACGCTGCAGATGGTGAGTCCGTTATTCTGTCAGTCAGGCTGGGGTCCTGGGAGAGAAGCCCTGGTCCTCCTAAATCTACAAGTCATCTTGGGAAACAGTCCCAGCGTCACTTAAGAAGCCAGCGTCTCCTTTTCTTGTTTGAGTGAATTGGCCCCCTTCTCTGTAGATGCATCAGCCATTTGAACCAGTGACCCCTGGATCTAAATAATGGTACCTCTTGCCCTTTTGCTGTGGACTGGGGCGAGGGGAGGAGCCGTTAAATTTCAAAGTGGAATAAACAGAAAAGCAACACTAAAAGGATGGGGAGGTTGTGTAGTGGAGCTTGAAGGGAGAACAGGTGTTTCCTCCCACGTTGAGAATAGTGACCCCTGGGAATCGCATTTCCCGTTGAGCGGGCACCCATGGTGAGGCGAGTCCTGTAAATGGCCTGGTAGTGTGGAACTGCCTGTGAGCGCCAGAGAAAGCCCGCTGTTTTCTAGATGGTTTCTCGGACCCCTAGTCACATAAGGAGCTCTGGTCCTTGGCCTCAGGTTCCACTCTGTATTCATCCAGTCCCTCGTACGCTGTGGCTACCCAACGCTCCGTGGCTGTGGACAAATGGCCGTGGCCTCCTGTGTTGCGCGGAGGCTCAATACAGTCCCAGCTGGCTGGCTCTGGTGTGTAAAACACTCTTCAGCCAGTGGGGGCCTTTGGAGTGCACACAGTGGGGTGACAGGCAGCGTTGCCGAAGAGAAAGCACAGCCCTGCCTGGGGTGGGAGGATGTGTGTGATGACGTGGCCCCACTCAGCGGGAACGTAGGCCTTTAAAAAGCCGAAGAAACAGCCTCAGAGTAAACGGTGGTTCCACGGGAGGAAAGCACACCCAGTCACATTAAAGAAGCCAAACTGTCTGCTTCAAAGAGAAAAGGCAACATCCTGTCGCAGGCCATGCTCTGGCAAAAATGTAAGTGGTTTGGTTGTGGCTGTCAAAGCCAAGCAGGCAGAGACAGGCTCCAGGACTAGAGAGCTGCTGGCGGGGATGGGAGCACAGGGTTTAGGCTGAGGGCCTGGGGAGCATAGACTGCTGAGGTGGGCGAGATGGAGTTGGATGGGAAAACCAGTCTGTCAGAGGTGATGCTCATTTTCCAACTTGGGGGAACGAACTAGTGTCCCAAGGTGGGACAGCTCATTGCATCTCCGGTTCTGGGCATGAATCACTGAGGTGAGGAAAGGGCAGTTTATGATTCATGAGACGGAAACCACAGATGATATGGGTTTGGAGCAGTTCTTCACGTGAGGGCCTTTGCTTTCATGGACACCTGCTCTTCGGCTTGTTGTTCAGTTCTGTGGGTCCATTTCCACCCGAGTTCTGCCGAAGGTGGTTCCCTCCTGTGGATGTGCTGGGATGGGATGGAAGCCCAGTTGTGTGAAGCCTGTCTTCGCTGCTTCTCTCCGGCTTCTTCTCGTTCTCTTCCTTATTCTGCGGCGTGGCTAGTTCTGTGTTCCGCTGCAAGGGGCCCGTGGGTTTATCTTTGACCTTGATTTTTATCCCTGGAGTTGAACGGAACAACTGTGAGCTGTATGTTCCGTTCTGTGGATTGAAAAGAATCGTGCGTTATTGATAATGGAACTCTCACAGACATTATCTACAACATTCCTTTCATGGGGTAAACAAAGTCAACTGAATAATCTCACAAAAGTCGAACCGTATTAATAAGGCTCAGTTCCGCACTTCCTCAAGTAAATCTATTATCAACAAATTTTCCTATCTTTCTTTGTTAGAGGATTAATCCCATCAAATGCCTTTCGTTAGTTAAGTATACCACATCTCAATCAAATTTATGTGATAATCCAGATTAAAATAAAAATAAATTTTGGAGGGCTTTATTTTAAAAAAGAAAATCTGAAAATATCACTTCATGGATTAAAATGTGGCATACATTATCACTAACTCACTGTTTTATTTCTCAATCCCCAAGTTCTCTGGAACTGATTTTTGTTATTCATAGGTGACTCAGAGGAGCAATTTCAACATCTCTCAGTTTACAAAGTCCTATCATTGATATCAGCGAGATTTCATTTTTAAAAACAAGAAGAAATTAGCTTTAATTTGAATTCAAGGGTTTTAACCATCTCTTCCAGTTCAGGTAGCATGGGACTCATGCCAGAAGGTGACCAAAGTAAAACCTTGTCCTTCTGGAAGCAGAGTGTCAGTCACACCAGTGGAAATACTGCAAGGATCTAGATTGGTCTGAATGTCTTCTGGGGCCTTTTGAGTACTGGTATGCCTTCTTGCTTGAAGTTTTGTGTGAGCACTTCCATTTTAAAAAAACAAAACTCTTAGAGTTTGCATATTTAAAATGTGGGTAAGAACAATCCCACTGTGCTTAGCTGCCCTTAATACACTGATGGTGCCACCAGAATGATGCCAGTTGCCCTGACTTGGCATTAGCTCCTAAGGTATGGGCTGCTTGCCTACAACAAAGAAGCTGCCATCGTCTCTCAGTGTTGCTACCCACTGTATTTTTCTTCTCCAGTGCCTCTTTGGAGAGGAACAGATTTTTTTTTTTTGAGAGTTGTTGGAGGGCTTGCTTCCTGCTCATACCACAGGGCCAGCCAGGTAGACCAGAATGCACTAGAACAGTGAAGGAAATATTCTTGTAAACAGTCCTTGGGGGCCTTGGAGGAAATGAAGAAAGGCCTCGTTCACCAGACCTATCCCTTTACCCTGGACCCAAGGTCATGTGAGTAAGACTTGTGGGAAACCCAGTAAAATCAAGGCAGTGCCATCAGCCCACTTAGAGTCGCAGGCTGAGATCGCAGGGTTTGCAATCAGACACCCGGAGTGCTGAAAAGGCACTTTCTTATTTCAGAAACCACCCTTCAGGCGGGAGCTGAAATGACTGTACCCAGGGTTAGGAAAGAGTTAAGAAAACAATCGCAGTGCACTTGCCGCCTCCTCCCTGTTTGGCTGTGAATTCCTATGAGTGGACTCAGGGTGAACACAGGCTTTAGTTCAGAAGGGAGAGCAGCGTGCCAAAGCTCAGACCTGTTGACATTGAGATACGGAAGCCTGGAGGTCCCAGGTCTGGGTGTCATCTGGATGGAGAAGTTGGTCCATCTGCAGACTTTCTCCTTCTCCCCGGCACTGGCCACCCCTGTCTCGTGTAGAGGACTTAGGACAACATGGTAGGACCAGCTTGGGACAGCTTGACCGCTAGACCGAGACAGGGCTGGCTCTGACTCTTGGCCTCTGACTGAGTAATCTCACATCTTCTCACTCTTACCGTGGGGATTTGAACATCTGCCTCACCAAGTCTTTGTGAGGATTAAAGTAGAGCCTGTACCTGCCTCTGGCCAATATGCCTGTACTTATTGGGGGCATCAGCTTGGGCTTTATGTTAACCGTTGGCTATAGAACGTTCTATTTTGTATGCAAGCAGTTTCCATAAGGTTTGCTCTTCCTCTGCTAAGCTAAAAAAAGTAAGTTACTATACAGAGTAATGTATTTCATCATGGCATCTTCATCATATGTGTCATTATACTTTGCTCTCATCTGCCCCCCACCCACATGTCCCTTCCTTTGCTAAACTTACGTTGATATAATTATTACAACACTCCATTATAAAATGTTAACTGTAACAATTAAATTTCACATGAGTTAGCACGCCAGCTGTCTGGCAACTTTTAAAACCATAAGTTTGCTCAAAGTGACAAAACCCAGGAAAATTATATAAAATTGCATTGAGCATTCATGAGGCTAGAGACTGAAATCAGCAAGGCACTAGCTTGCTCAAACACGAAATACTAACTTCTAAAGCAATTTGATTCACACATTTTCAAATGGAAGTGACCACTATTGCATGAGTGGAAAATGTGCTTTTCAGTTCAAGGCCATATTTTAAACTCTTATTAAAGTTTCAAGAATCTGGAGATTATTTTATCTAGATGTCAACTTTTCATTGAAAGGTTGAACATAGAAAAAAAAAGAATGTAGGCAAAGTGGACCTCATGTGTCCAATAAGCAGCCACAGCGGTCAGTTAATGCCTTCCTTCTTCCATAAGCCTATCTGGCCCACCAGACTGTGCCAGCATCCCTGTTGTATATCTTTCCCTAACCTCCAAAGAGTTCGGGTCAAATATTTTTGAGTGATAGAATCTAGCTGCATTCTCCAAAGGTCTACAACACAATTTGGCCTGCGTGCCAAATTGGGCTTATTGTCAATTTTTATAATAAAGTTTTATTGGAACACATCTGTGTTTCTTGATTGGCATATTTTGCAGGACTGCTTTTGCTATATCAGCAGAGTTGTATAGATGTAATGCTAGTGGATGAGCCTATCTGGCTCTTTAGAGATGGAGTATGCTCACCTCTTCACTTAGACGCCTGGTTGGTACTTGAGGCATTCATTTCCCCAGGTTACTCAGCATCTTGGTCTTGTACAGTGTTAGCATCAATGGTAGACAAAGCATGTGTTCAATTCATTCAGTAGTTTGTTAATGACAAAAAAATCTAATTGATTAAAAATCTTCCTGAGAAGTGATGGAACAATATGTAATAAATTGAGTATCACTTGTTGGAAAGGGGGAAAAAACTTAAAGGTAAAGGTGAGATTTTTTTTTATCATTGTTTCTTGTATTAGGGAAAGATCTGTGAGAGTGGAAGGCAGGATTAACTGATTTTTCTTCATACTGACTGGTTGTCTCAGGTCCTGTGGATTTGGCCATGTTGTCACTGTAGTTAAGGCAAGGGGCACCTTAGACACAGGAATTGGTTACTACCAAATCATTACAGCCATGTTCCTTTGGCAGACATCTGGAACAGATCAGAGAGGTTTAACAGATAAACCAGGGACTCCTAACTCTCACTATTAGTGAATTCTACTTTTAGGATTTACCTTACGGTTTCACTAACTAGGAAATATATTGTTAAGAGTAGTTAAAGAGACTAAGGGCTATACATGTGAATTTTGGAACTTTGAAACTATCTCATGCATAAATTCATGTATATTTAGAGCAGGAAGTAATTTAAACTATGTGGACAACCTCTACCTTTTCCGTTCTAAGACACAGCCTTTGTTTAATGAGCTCAGTAAAGACCTTCCCTTACCAAGCTTGTGCGCTGAGTTCTTACTGCTAGCAGGAGGTATCCGAAGGAAAGATGTAAATTCGTAGGTTCTTTATGTGGAGGTAGACTGGGGAAGATGCACATCTCTGAGGGAGAGATGAACAGATCTCTAATAAGCCCAGGAAGAGAACCAATGACAGACCAAAGTCATAAATCTACACAAGTGTAGGTTGGTGAAATTGTCGGTTTATATGGCTTACTTGTAGAAGCATGGGTGACTCCCAAATATCTGTACCACCAAAACTTCCTACTTTAGCATGGGGAATGACTCCCCTTAATCTGTGCAAATGAAGCCCCTTTAGTTAGTCCTTTGCTTCCTAGTTTAGTCTAGCTCCTCCTGAGACTAGTTCTCACGGAGAAAGAATGACATACAACTGGAGGGTAGGGGCCAGAAATGAGTGAGTGAGTAGCTCGAACAGGTGGTGTCTAATGGCTTTTCCTCCCCATGGCTTTTGTGGTAGAATGTGAACAAGCTCAGTCTTGTGAAGGTCTTACGGGTTCTTACTGAAATGGGAATGTAGTGCCCAGAAAACAGTGTTCCACAACACAAGAATACAGTTTTATTGGTAAAAGAGCAAATGATTTCCATGGTGAACCTTTTTTCTTGTCTTCCTATATTTACTGAAGAAAGATGTCAAATATGTATCCCTAATTCTCAATATTTACCAGCTCAGGAGTACTGAAGTATCAGCTCAGAAGTACCAGCTCATACATGTAAATCTGTTCTTTTATGAAGAGTTAGGAAGAAAAAAAAATCAAGGTTGTCTGTACTTTTCTGCTGAGTCTGGTTTGATTCATTAGGAAGTTCTGTAAACATTTGCTTTTGGCTTTCTCAGTACCAAGTAGGAGCATCAGGTTTATCCCCCTCACCGCCCCCGCCAACTTTCCTACAGTAGTTTAGTTTCTAGTTAAATGAAGATGTTTACTAATTTCTCTTGTTAGCTAGCTACTCAAACCAAAGTTTGGTAATTGATTATGATTGTTTGAATAACTCTTCCCTTATGACATCTTTTATAACGACTCTAGTTTTTTTGTTTTTAGGAAGAATGTCTTGGTAAGAGTGGGAATGCCTTGGATGAAAGAACCTTCTTGGAGGCTCCTGTGCCTTGGCTGTGCAGGCCCTGTGAATGGAGGCATTATTCTTGCACTCATGATAAATGAATTACACTTCCAAATCTACAGATAAAAGGGCTTGGGGTCTTTCAGCCAGCTACATGGCCACTGTGGAATTAGTCTTTTCCTAGCCCAGAGATCGAACTTGGGTTCTAATTGCTGAGTTTTCTTATGTCCCTATTTTTTTTAAAAAAAAATTTAAAACAGAGGTTCTTAAATTAGTAGAAAGGAGTCTTATATGTGCCCAGAGCATTTCTTTGCAACATTAGCTGTATACTGGGATGTTTATGGGCAGGGGAAGATCTCAGTAATATTGATGTCTCAACCCCATTCCAGAGCTTCTAGTTCTGCCCCAGGAGCAGAAATTATGTGTATATATTAAGATACAGTTTTCCCTTCATGGGTTATAGTAGGTGATTACTATTGTGCTTAGCAGGAGGTAATACCCAATTCATAGCACAACTTGAACTAGAAAAAGATATGAGAATAAATATTGTTTAAACTTTTGAGGCCCGGGAAATGTTGAGACAGAAAAGAGAGCAGAAGCCAGGCGGTGGTGGCACATGCCTTTAATCCCTGCACTTGGGAGGCAGAGGCAGGTGGATCGCAAAGAGTTCGATGCCAGCCTGGTCTACAGAGCGAGTTTCAGGACAGCCAGGACTACTGTTACACAGAGAAAGCCTGCCTTGAAAAAAAGCAAACCAAACCAAAAAACAAAACAAAGAGATAGATATATATATATATATATATACACACACACACACACACACACACACACACACACACACACACACACAGAGAGAGAGAGAGAGAGAGAGAGAGAGAGAGAGAGAGGGGGGGGGGGGAAAAAGAGTGAGAAATAGAAGCATGTTTTAATCATTTATTTCATTATTCCATGCTAGCATGTATTCATATATACTGTACTTCCTATCCAATAAGGGAACTTCTAGAGGTTAAGGAATTCTGAGTAAACCTTCTTCCTGGATGATTTTACTGTACAGGCCTTGAACTATTGCTGGTGGTCAAAATTGATGGCCTCTTATATATCATTGATCTTTGAGGTAGTATTAACAGAAGGTGTTCAGGTCTTCTGATAGTGTTAAATGGCAGCTGTGGGGTAGGGGGTAGGGCACTCAGTGCCCCTCAGAATATGAATTCTCTTTTGGATCAGTTTAGGTGACATTTTTTTGCTAACATAGAGAAGTGACATAATAGGAATTTAAGTGAGATTCTGGACTGTACCTCTTGTTACTTAAAAGAAGTTCACAGTAGATTTCCCAGGACCCCGTGGGGTCTCTGCACTGCCAACGAGATTCTGGCTTATTTTGTCTTTCTATTCTGATGTCTATGCCATATGACTTTTGTCTTCAAAATTTCCTGGTTGTCACTAACTCGGGCCACCACATTGATGATCACCAAGTCTTGAAAGAAGAACTGGAAAAAGGTATATTTATGTGTGTGTGTGTGTATACACACACACACACACACACACACACACACACACACACACACACACACATATGTGTAATTCATTACTGTCCCTTCTCCTAACACACAACCTCTTTTGACATCTCATGGCTACTCCATCTACAAGGGAGAAGAACATGTTATTTAGACGGGCATGTTGCCAGTGCAAGGGCCGCTAAAAAAGAAGGAACAAGCGACATTGGATGTGACAACTGTCAACCTTTGCCACACTTTGTACTCTTTCATCTGCTTCTCATAAAAAGGCCATGACATGGGTCCTATTATAAGATGCTCTTAAATATTATATTGGTAACTCACCTATGAGATAAAATTCATCCAAAGCAGACCCAAAATATTGATGTGCTAAGCTGCCCTGTCTCCTGCCACCACCAAGTTGTGCTACCTCCTAGGGCTTAGGAGATGTGTTTGGTGAAAGCCAAGGCTCTCTATGTTAGATAAAGGCCTACAGTGAGACAAAACACGTTAGCCCACAGACGACTGCTCAAACCTTCAGGATTCTTTCATAATGTGTTTACTTATTGGAGAGAAAGCTATTACGAGTGGGGTTTTATTTAGAGCTGTAAAGGAATATTGCTGCTCTTTGTTTGCTTTTAGGAGTTTAAAGATCAGCTTCAGGGTCAAGCAGATACGCGTTTCAGATCTATGCCTTACTGGTTGTGGTTCTGGGACGTCTCTTCTCTTTCTGTATACACCAAGGATGTGGTTCTTCCTTCATGGGTTGTGGTGGGTGTTTACTACCTTGCTTGGCAGTAAACAAACACCCAGTAAAGTAGCTGTTACTATTATTATTTTCCCTCACTAAGGGCAGAGTTTATGCAGGCTACCTATAAATTATAATTTGTGAGTTTGACATTACTTGCAAAGCTCCAGGGTGCCTATGCCTGGTCCTGGAATTAATAACAGGACTTGGGATCAGGGTCAGTGCTGTTGTCTAAGCTGATCAGTTTGAGGCCCGTTTGTCCATGACTTCCTTACCACCCTCATCAGGGAGCATGGGGCTTAGAACTTGTGTTTGTTTTTTAACTTACAAGTTTGGACTGAGGTATTTATAAGTAGGTTGTGCGGAGAACAGCACTTGAAATGGTCAAGAAATAGCGCTGATGATACCGAAAACCGAAACAGCAATGTGTTGCCTCCTTTTTTTAGTAATGGTTTCATTAGCAGTACTTGCCGGGAAAAGGGGGCAGCTAAAGACTTATAAGCCAGAATCATTTTCAGACTAGGTGTCGGTGCCCGAAAGGAGTCGATCACTATCCAGGAAAACTCTATTACCGTTTAATCCATTAGAAAGAATCAAGCTTTTACAGAGAAGGGAGACGATAATAAATATTCTTAAAATCTCCTAGGAGCAGCAAATGTTGAGGAGCTGGGAAAGAAAGGAGAGAGAAAAAATGTTGAAAATAATGAGTTTTAGTACTGGATGAGAGGTTTATCCGCTCAGGAAAGAAAAGTGTGGGGAAAAAGTCAGCCACATTATCACTATGCTGTGCTTGCGTGTGCTGGGCATCCGGTGATGTAACTCCTAGATAAATGAAGCAATGAAACAAATTATCTTCAGCAAATGGGAAGATGGGATCAGCGATGATGCCATAGGGCATGTGTAGGTCATGAAGGACACGTGATGATAATCAGGTTCATGGATTAGGTTCTGGAAAACACTGTGGCATTTTAGCATCGGAATAAAAAAAAATCCAAGGATGTCTAGGCTCATAAATGCCCATAAATACTGTTGACATTCTCTCTTCAAATCAAATGACTTGTGGGATCCTAACATGAAAGCCAAGATGAAGCATCTCTGGGGTGGGGATGCCCAGAGCTTGGCTTGTTTGTTCATGTCCTGATTTCCTGGCCTCTTAGGCACTTGCTGGCATCTTAATCTTGTCCTAGGGGTCTTACGGGCTCTAACCAGCCCCTCAGTCCTTTGACCAAGAGCCCTGGGAGCTAGTCACAGGTTCTAGGCTTACAGAGAGCTAGTCACAGGTTCTAGGCTCACAGAGAGCTAGTCACAG